TCCACCCCGCACAACATGATCTACTCGACCACCATTATGGTTACCGCAAAAAAAAAAGAGACAAAAAAATAAAATCGGTAACCTGGTTGCCGAGTTCACGAAGTGAATTGGCTTGTTTTACGACGTCGTTACCAAGCGACGAAAACCCAATCCCGATGGCAAACACCGGGGGGGGGGGCGCCCTGGGAATCGGGAAAAAAAAACGAGAAATGAGTCACTCATCCGTGTTCGACTTGAGTCCAATCGGAAGAATTGCGATCAAAGCTATCCGCGATGCTCTTTGGAGCAATGCGGCATGCCACCCCCCTTGTAGGTTGTCCAAATACTTCCGGCTGCGTTCGACGAGAAGGAGCTTCTTTCTCCGAGCGAGGCAAGTAGCCAGGCCTTTTCTTGGGGGGTTGTCAGCGAGCGGGAATTGTGTCAATGTCGATCCAGCAGAAAGATGGGCGTGTCTTGATAATGTTCAGGTAGCACACCAAAATCGACGCCCTGCTTTCGAGGGGGCCTAGCAAAATCAAGCACCGATGGGGATCATCACAAGCGCCACGAGCAGGGTTGAGAAGTTTTATTTTCCCCGCCAGGATTCTATTTTTTTTCAAGCCGTCGTTTTCAGAGAGTACCACGTAAGGTGCTGGGGCGCTTGCTGAATGTATGGGTGTGCACATTTTTTATTGGGGCACCTGCTAGTGTTCGCTTTCTCCCGATCCCTTCTGGGTGTTGTAACCGCCAACTATTGGTACGACTGAGCTGGACCCTTGTGCTACTCATGACCACATGTTACCTTGCGTTTTATTATACAACGACGTCGCCTTTTTCCCGCCTCTCCCCCGTCACACCTTTTGCGCCAATTTTTGGTCGTGCAGCTCGTCTTGTGGGCGATTCCCCCCTCAGGCCGCGCCGCCGCCCCCCGCCCCCCTCGAGGCTCTCTCGCTACCCTCAACGCAACCGCTCCGCGTCGGCGAGATCGAGCTCAGCAGCAGCAGCAGCAGCAAGAGCAACAGCAGCCGGTGCTCCCACGCGTGGCCGGAGCTCGACAGGGTACGTATCGTCCCTGACCGGCGGGCGTGTAGGCGGGGAGAACGACCAGGAGGATGAAGGGCCGGAGCAATCGGGTCAACGTCGACGGCAGCATAGCGGACCTTCGGGGCTTCGGTCCACGGCGACCAACGATGTTATGAGCGGGGGTGCTTCGAGTTCTCGGCACAGGAGGGCGCAGCGACGGGTGCAACGACGGCAGCAGCAGCAGAGCGAGGGTAGTGACGGATGGTGCGCCACATCGGGCGAAGAGAGCCTGCAGGAGTCGTTAGGGCAAGAGGAAGAGGATGGAGAGGAGGAGACAAGTTCGTCGGAAGAGGAGGAAGAGGACGACAGCAGCGGTAGCGAAGTCGAAAGCAGGCCACGGGGACCTTCCGCAAGAGCTCCGAGAAGGAGGAGCGAGAGAAGAGCTGGGAGGGAGGAACCCACGTCGACGAGGAGGGGGAGAGCAAGCTCAGCAGCCGCCGCGGCAACGGCGACGACGGCTCCGCCGGCAAGGCCACCTCGAGTGGAATGCTCGCGGCCGCCACCGGTGGCCGCGTCTTCCTCGCACGGGAACGCCGCGTCCTCCGCCACAAGCGACAACGCCAACAGGAGGTTCGGCTTGAGTGCCGCCTTAGGGGAAGGCAGCCTCGGAGCAGGTTCGTTGTCATCGGCGAACATAACGGCGGCTGGGCGCAGGTCCTTGGCAGCGGCGGCGGCGGCGTCCCCGCCGTGGTTGACCCGCCGTAGGTTCAACAGCGCCTCCGGCGCCGGCGAGGAGCGCCGGGCGTTGTTGCGTCCTCCTCCTGCTCCTCCGTTGCAACGACGACCATATTCTCCGTTTGAGGAGGAGGTATTGGCATTGTCGTCATCCCGTGGTCCGCAGCCGGGCGGCGGCGGCGGCGGCGGCGGTGGCGGCGGCGGTAGTCTTGCGAATGCGGCGTCTCGTTTGACCGGCACGAGCCGGCGGCGGGGAGGGCTTCGTAGCCCCGACGCCGACAGCGCCGCCGCTCCCGCTTCCGCTGGTGTTGTTACGGGTGCTACTGCGGGCCTGGTCGTGGAGGGACGGCGGGAGGGGGAGGAGGAAGAGGAGGAAATCGGGAGAGGAGAAGAGGGTGAGGGCTCGCGAAAGAGAGCGAAGGTGAGGACGGCGCGTGGTGGTAACGACGACGACGACATGGCGGATGATATTTGGATGGAGTCACCAGAATCGTTGTCGGCCTGTCCTAGGCGCGGGCAACGCTGCATGACTCGGAGGGGCGGGGGGGCTGGTGGTAGCGGAGAGGTTGCACGGAGCGGCGGCAGGCGGGTTGTCCGCCCGCTGCGTCTCTCGCCCCCATCGTTGGCCCCTAACACTCGAGAGTTGGAGGAGGAGGAAGAGGAGGAGGAGGAGGAGGCTAAATTTGATTGGAGCGCTGAGACCGCGCCGTTGTCGGCGTCGGATGGAAAGCCGGAGGAAATTAAACGTAGCGAGCGGGGCGGGCACGGAGGGAAAGGGGAGGAGGATCGCGGTGACGACGACGATGACGACGAAGAAGAAGAAGAAGAGGAAGAGGTGGAGTTCGACTGGCGTGTCGGGAGCAGCCAATCATCGCGGGGGTTAGGGTCGGCGGCGGCGGCAACGGCAACCAACAAGAAGTGCCAGCGGCGTGAGGGGAGCGGCATCGAACAGGACAGAGCAGCAGACCAAGAAGGAGAGGAGCTTGATCTCAACGGGCTGGGGACTCACCCGGGAGGCCGGCACTACGACGATCCGGAGCCGTTGTCGCAGCGGCGTCGGCGGCGGGATCAGCAGCAGCAGCAGCGGAGGCTGGGGGGCAACAAGGAGAATGAGACACCGTCCAAGATGGCGAACGAAGGAGCAGCAGGCGATGGGCGAGGGCATAGCCGCCGAAGCTTGTCGCGCTCTGTGCCGCCGCCGTCGCCGTCGTCATCCGCAGCAGCGGCGGGCTTCTTGGACCAATTTCGGTACACGGCTGGTGCTTGACGTTGGTCGAGGCTAAATTAACGGTGGGGTCCGCTCAATTTATCTCCGCCCGCTCCGTAGTGTTTCAGCGTGTGTACCATATAGCAGCTCACGACGCGTCGCTGCCCACGTGCTGATTAGATTATCCACGTGGTTGCGGGCCCCAGGCTCCAATCCATGTATTTGTGGCATCCTCAGACACGAGACAATATTTCAGACAAGAGTCAATCGTAACGAGGGCCGCGTTCATGGTGTTGCTGAGCGTATGTAAGAGAGCTAGAATAATTCGTGATGTGGGGACGGGGGGTGGGGTGGGGGGGGAAGTGATCAATTTTTGCTTCCTTAGAGAGCAAAGGCATCACCGTGCCCGGGTTGTAAGGGTGACAGTGCGGTCGGTTTTTCCAAAATTCATACGGCGGAGTGCGCTTGTTTGCGTTGTGCTCCGCTACCATGTTGAAGACAAGGTCTTGTTGGTGACATGTAAGTGGTAAGTGTTCTCGGGCGGTAGCAAGACGGCCACAGGATGGCTTGGTGTTGCTTCGTGCGGTCTTGGAGGAGGGAGGGCGGATTGTCTTTTGACCCGGGCTTCGTTCGAGTGTAGGCCAAGAAGATCAGACGATCGCTTGTTGGGACACGAGGGGTTTGAAAAACCGAGCGTTCGCTATTGAAATGAGAGAAAAAGTAAAACCGCAGCATATGGACAAACTAGCAGCCGTTATGGTGGTCAAGGGAGGGGTGTTAGTGTCTTGGCTGAGTAGGTTCAATGACCCACCAGGCCTAGAAACGACTTAGCTTTCTCATGTCGCCGGGGGATGTGGTCGCGACGGTGAATGTGCACTGTGCATCGTAGCGGGAGATCGTGAGGATGCCTGCAAGTGCAGCGATGGTTGCACTCGTCGCAGTCCGAGGCCAAAGAGGTTATTCCCCAGACCACCCGGGTTTGCGCCGCAATATTTTGTTCACCGGGTGCCACGTCGACAAAGCCTGCAACTACACGTTGACTGCAATCAAATATTAATGTTGAGCAAATATTTGATTGCAGTCAACTACTGTTTCGAAAAGCTGCGCAAATATTTGATTGCAGTCAACTACTGTTTTGAAAAGCTGCGCAAACATTTGATTCCAGTCAACAACTGTTTTGAAAAGCTGCGCAAATACTGTCAATTACCGTCTTGAAAAGCTGCGCATATATTTGGTTCGGAGCAACTACTCCCGGAGGCAACTCTCTGTCAACTATTCATATTTGTCCTGACAACTATTTTGAACATTTTGTGCTTGAAAGTGAGGGGGCGGGGGATCGGAGGGAGCCCAGCCTGATGTCATTGGATGGAAGATTAAGATTGGTTCCGGAAAC